ACTTGGCGGCATAGCGACTAGCAAGAGCACATGCGAGATGGTGATGATGATGACATTGATCAAGTCAAAACCAGGGTTGGACCAAGTCAATGCAAGGTGTCATGAGCACTTGGTGGATTGCCACACCAAGAATATGAAGGACACGCGTTGACATTGGAGGTTGCTTTTCAAGTTTGGGCCTCAAAACACAGGAGATCTTGGGACTTCACAGGCGGCCATGGCCATTCAATGCATGGAAGACCAACTTGGCACATTTTGCCCTGTTGGCTAAGTTATTTATGTCTAAACCTAACATTATTCTTGTAATGTGTAATAACCCTCTAGAAATAAGACAGGAAGCTGCCCAAGACAACTATCCTTCCACCATTTGTTTATTTTCTAGGGTTAATCAAGTGCTCTAAATTAAAGATTAGAGGAGTTAGGCTAGAGAGTGATTCCCTCTTAGGCTAGTTTGTCACCAAAGTGGAAGAATGTTGGGAGGAAGACTAATCTGATGAGTAGATTATCTCATGGTTGAATTGAAGTAATGAAAATCTTATTGAAATCATCTCTTATGTGCCATTTCTTTTGAATCCATTGATTTTTCCTTTTTTTAAATTATGTCACATTCGCTTGGTGATTTTTGGAGCGGTGATAGATCTTAGTTCTTGGAAGGTTTTGAAATGTTTCTTGGAGCCTTTGGAGATTGGTACATGATTGATTAATAACCCCAACACTAAACTCCATATGATTGGCTTTCCAAATCCCTATTTTTCTTCTTCAAAATTCTTCCTTTGGTGAAATTCATAATTCCTTTGAGCTAGGTGGTTTTGGTTGTTTCTTATGCTCAATCTTGGTGCTATGAGGTCATGGGAACATATCTAGGCTTTCCTTTTGAAAGGATCAAGATTCCCAAGAGGGGGGTTAGTTGGGCTAACTCTAAATTTCTTTCAATAATTAAGCCCCATACTTAGCCATTTCACCCCCTTGTGACTAGAAGTGTTTTTATTATTCTCATCGCACAAAAGTTTTGCACCTAGGTTCCAATCCTAGTCTAGCATGGCAATTCTAAGAATGTAAAGATATGAATTGAATTACTCAAATATAAATGCTCAAAGTAAAGAGGAGAGGAACACGGTGATGTTTTTCTGAGGTAATAGAGAGTCGCCACTTCTCACTAGTCCTTGTTGGAGCACCCGCGCAAGGGTGTAGCTCCCCCTTGATCTACATAAGGATCAAGTGCTCTCTACGGGATGATTCTTTGACAGTCCATCGCGGTGAACGCCCACAACCGCTCACACCATGACTTGGGTCATCCATAAGCTCCATCGGATGATCACCAAGTCTCCAATCACCACCGAGCCATCTAGGTGATGGCGATCACCAAGAGTAACAAGCACAAACTCTCACTTGACCAAGACAAGCCTAATGAGAAAGGTGGGTGCAGACTTGCTACTCCCTATGCACTAATGAGGTCCTTAATCTTAGATTATCAAATATCAATCACCCCACTAGGCTCTTGCTCTCCCTTACACTCCAAAGGTGTTTCTCAGCTGAACAAATGGGCAAGAGACCTAAGTTGGACGAGTAGGAGAAGTATATATACTCCCCCCACTTTAAAACATAACCGTTATTGTCCAACTCAGTAGTTTTTTGGGTGACCGGATGCATCGGTCGAAGTGACCAGACGCGTCCGGTCAGTAGCCAACGGCAATGTGGTGTCAGCCTGTTAGAGAAGGTTGTTGGAGTGACCTAACTCTGGCCAACGTCCGATCAACATCCACCGGACGCGTCCGGTTAGGAATTTTGGTCTCTGGACCCTCTCTGATGTTGACCTGACGATGCAAACTCAGCGTCTGGTCGTTTACTGTTCAGCATCCGGTCCTCTCTGACAGCGAGACCCTATTGCTACAGATACAACTAGAGGCGTGTCCGATTTCAATCACTGTGTAGCGTCCGGTCACTCCTCGACTTCTGCTGTGCGTGCTGATCACTGACCGGATGCAGCACTTGTGAGTCTGGTCATCACTAAATCAGCGTTCGGTCACATTTGACCCCTCATTCACTTCCAATTCAAAATCCTTTGTGAATGAGGTTGACTCCAATTGATCTTTGAGCTATTCCTGAGCTACATAGTGCTAAGTTTGACAAGTGTGCACCACACCTAACCCATTAGACTCACCTAGATCTAGCTACTAGCTCATACCCCCTTAATAGTACGGCCAAATAAAAAACAAAGTCCTAAACTACTCTAAGTGTCTCTCCAATGCCAAACGACACTTAGAACTAGTCCGTCCTTAACCTTGTCGTCCATCCTTTGAAAATCGAAACGATTTTCATCGATAGGGGCATGAAAACCATAATTGCCCAAACAATCATCATTACCATGACTTAACTCAAGTTGCCTCTGCAAGACATATGTTAGTCACAGTAATCTCGTATCGCCATTAATCACCGAAACCCAACTAGGGGCCTAGATGCTTTCACTTTTAAACAAATTTCCGCGAGCACCTCCAACTCACTCTTTTGTGCTTTCTTGAGAAAACACTAGAAGAATTCTTCATTACGTGGTGAATCCTAGACCGTTCTGAAAGATCCACGAGATTACCTTCACCATGAGTTAGTTAAGGTAACGATCAGGTTGTGTAATAAATTGATTTACAGAGGCAGGCTTCTTAAATGGGCCATCCATGTAAACAGAGACAACACATTTAAGAACCTCGCGCCTTCGCAAATCAATTTACAAAGATGGTCCACTTAAGAAGCCCGCCTCTATAAATCAATTTACAAAGATGGGGCTTTATTGGACTATCTCCTAAAATATGTTGGTTGTCTCTGAAATTGTGTAGATAGTTTGGGAGACACCAAATTTTTTAGACCACCTCAAAATGCCCTACCCCCTAAAATCGGTTTTGTAGTAGTGAACACAATCTTTTTCTGGCATCAGCATGGGGGAGTAAGAGTCGATTAAGTATGTTCTCATAGTTGCCAACACAATTTTATAAAACAAATGTTTACTAGTTCCCTTTTTCATGCTGAAAGGACCATGATGTCGCTAAGGGGGGTGAATAGGTGTTTTTGTAGATGTGTTTGGAGATGTCCAGTAGCAACTCCACGAAGCACCTGCACTCACAAACATAGACAACCAAGTATATCAAGTGAAAAGAAAATGATGCAATTCAAAACATAAGAGACACTAGAGATTTGTTTCACCGAAGTTTGGGTTCCCACTTGAACCCTATGTCTCCGTTGAGGTGGCAGTGAGCAACTCACAAAGCTCGTGCTCCTGTCGAGTTCCTCTCAACCACATTCCTCGCCTCCACTAGTTGGTCTTTTCCCTTTCGGGGGCAAGATTATAGGCCTCACAAACTTTCACATGGCTCACCACAAGCACGAGAGTTCGTCGGGCAACGCCTAGCCATCTAGGTCCCCTCCAAGAGTAACAAATGCTTCATGAAGTATGACAAAGCCCAACAAGTGCTCAAGGTTTGGATTCCTCTCAATTGCTCTCTAATTCCAAATCACTCACCCTCAACACTTAATTACATACCAATCACTCACTCTCACAAAGAGAGGGGTTGGGGAGAGTCTCATAAAGGCTCTACCATAGGTTGGTTAGCAGGTGATGATCTATTTGGTTGAACTAATTTGGGACGTGTTGGTGATCGATGTGCCCAAGAGGCAATCATATGCGTCATGGATTGGATCTATACGTGGGCTAAAACAGGACATTGATCCATGAGAGTTTTAATAAGCCTCTAGGGTAGAAGTCTATTCGTGGAGTCTATATATATATGACGAGGCAGTGCTAGAGGCAAGAGATGGTTCGACCTTTCCCAACACCGGCCCTGTTCGCTTTTGCTGAAAATCCATGGCTGAAAAGTACTGTTCACTGATTTGTTGTGAGAAAAAACAATATTTGTTCGCTGAAATAAATACGGCTCATAAGACAAGCGGACAGGGCGCAGACTATCTGCCCCCTCCCTCTCTCCCCTTCCGATGAAACCCGAGCCATGCGCGACGGTGGTAGCACATCGGTGCATCGATGTTCCATCTCCACACGTGTCGATACTATTAAGACTCTGCTGCGATGTGCACGATGTTGGACCTAGCTGCTCCAACTCTTCTGCACGACACGTCAAGTGGCCGCGTCATATCTAGGTTGAACACGATATATTTGTTTGTGCTGGTGCGTCACAAAAGGTTCCTCCCGCCGGTTCAACCACATATCTTGTCTTATATGTATAAATGCCATAATTCTTATTGCTTCAAGCGGAGCTCTTTTCGACCGCGTTCTGAATTTCTCTATATAAAGGTGTTTGGTTCAGTGAGCTAGTGGTAACACACAAATGGAGATGAGTTAATACGTACTGTAATCGGAGCTAGGATACTGACCGCGATCTGTGTTAATTTGGAATTGGAAGAATCAGATAAAGTTGATTACAGACAGTAGGAAGCAAACAGATGTAACGGTAATATAGAGAAATTAGAAGAATCAGATAAAGTTAATGCATACCTGAGGTTGTGTTACATTTTGGAGCGAGAACCAAACAGTACCCAGTTCAAGGCTGAATATTCTGAGCTAGTCATTATAGGATAATTTATTTATTGTTGGAGTTGAGAGAGGTCGTCACCTCCCTCCAACTCCAATGGTATGTGTAGAGTCGTAGTTACTACTCTAACATGAAACTCTTTATGAGCTTCCTTCCATCGAGCTTCGCAGTGAAGTATTGCTTCAAGAAATCTTGGTAACTGGTTGTTCCGTACCGCACTCTGTCGCCTTTCTTCACCAACTCCGGCAGAGGACCAAGCATCCGATCCTGGTCGGGGAAGTGGAACAGTGCCGCCGAAATCCGCTCCTTGGTTGGGTGTATCACGGCCCTATGCTCAACACTTTTGAACGCGCCGTTGCTCACGATCTGCAAGCAAGGGTAGGCCTCTAGGCCATAGCAAAATGAATCTCCCTGCGCTAGCTACCAGGCAGCGGATCGGGACGAGAACGACCAGCAAGTACGTCGTACCTCGAGCGCGTCACCGACGTTGACAACGAAGGCGCCGTCTAGCGCTTGCACAGGGAACCACCTGCCGTCCTTGCCGACCTGCAGCCCCTGCACGTCGTGGTTCATCTGCAGCAGCAGCGTCAGGACGTTGGGGTCGGTGTGGGGCGACAGGCCCAGCACCCGGTCCGCCGCCTGCCGGCACGGCGGGTAGTAGTTCGCCCGCATGCCCCGTACCTGCCCTTGGAACACGCCTCGCAGCGACGCCGGGTCGGCCCCCACGCCCTTGGCCATGAACTCCAGCAGGTGGTACGCTAGCTTCGAAGCTTCCGAGGAATACGAGTCAACGGAATCCCTGGAATCGATTCAGGTAAGGCTACGGTTTAAAAGGAAATTTATTCAGGTATAATTTATCGTTGGATGGATGCATCAGACGAGATGATCACCTGAAGGATGCAGGGCGTGTAGGCCAGAAGCGCATGTCCCTGGACTCCCTCGGCTGAACAATGAGGTAGAGCATGTCTGCCCAGTCCAGCTTCTGATCCTCAGACACGACGAACGCCTGGCCGTAGCCTTCAAGGCTATCAGCTTGCTGTGCGCATTCCTTCTTGGCTTCCAGCGGCTGCTTGAAGAACCCGACTACGTCCTTCATCAGATTTGCAATCACCTCGTCCGAACTCCATGGTTGATGAGCTGCACTGCATGCACCTCATCGATCAATATATATGCCTCATGCATGCATGGTTCATAACATAAGCAGCACATGTGGTACGTACCTGGAAGAACCCCAGTGGTGGCATGCGGATCCCAGCCTGGCGCACTCCTCCTCCGATGACTCCGGATCAAGCAGCTTACGGAAATCGATGACCGGAATTGCGTGAGAGCTATCGTCCGCAGCGACGACCTCCTCCGCGCTAGGATCCTTGCTGAGGTATCTCCGGGGCACCGGCTCAGCAACTCCGTTATTGCAAGTCTCCGCAAGCGCCTGCACGTTAGCCACCGGGAGAGACTCCATGCCTCTTGCTGCGTCCGCCATTGTTATCTCAATTTGGTCCTTCCTAGTTCCTACCCCCACACGAGCTCCTCCTCCTGCTGCTGCTGCTCCTCCTCCTCCTTCATTTAGACTTCTTTTCAAGACCTGGTGATGACGTTCATGTATAAATAAATAGATAAATAATGTCTAATCATACAGTGCTTAGCCTCCACGTTTAGCCACCGAGAGACCCAATGCTTAGCCTCCACATTTAGACTTCTTTTCAAGACCTGCTGCTGCTCTCGCCAATTTGAGTCACACACTCACACTGATAGTGATATCTTTAATATCATTATTTTCGCCTCCACGTTTAGCCACGCCGAGAGAGACCCAATGCTTAGCCACCGGGACAGACCCAATGCTTCTCTATAGTCTTACATTATGGTACATATGCTGACATATGAAGACATGCATGTCATGCGTACAAAAGAGAAGAATCTTCATGGGGGTCAATAATGTCTAATCATACAGTGATAGATATTATTCACATGCAAGGTGCAGATTTATTAGCCCGTCTCTCTTCTTCAACTGTGCATCGATAGAAATAGAATAGGACCCAGGCCAGGCAACCATGGTTGTTTGCATTGCAACGTGGACTCGCTCGGGCGCGCTCCTTGAGGCACATCAATTATTCAGACGCACGCGCTACAAATGGATGGCCGAGCCTGCATCCGTACCAGGTACAGATGTTCACAGGTCAATTACCAAAATCAGACTTAGGGCTTTTAGTGCCATGGATGGAAGCGGACCCAGCGTCAAGCGTGAGCGCGGGGGCAGGCCACTTGCGTATGGCTGCCTGGCAAATCTTGGCTTGGTCTTGGTGGGAGGTGTCGTCAGTCTTGTACATTTGGCTAGCTATTGTTCTTTGGTGCTTATTTGCCTGATTGTGGTTCATCTTCTTTGTTTTTTGCATGCAAGCTATGATTGATAGCATGGGCAACCAGGGTCTTGCTGGCTACTGCTACTAGCTAGACGATGACATGGCAGCGGAGGTTGCGGCCTGTGGCAGTGGCAGCGTGTTATAAGAGCCTGTTTGGCACAACTCCACCACTGGAAAAGTTGAATCTAGATTTGGGATTCACCTGAATCCACCGTGGAGCAGCTCCACCGTGGATCTGGGATTCACCAAAGTGTTTGGTCTAGCTCTAGCGTTTCTCTCTGTCTCACTTACATCTGGTCCACACACATAAATAAGAAAAAAAAAGGCACGCTTCTTCTTCCTCCCGACGACGCTCATGCTACCAAACAGGCTCGCGCCAACTCCACCAAACTTGGATTTGGTGGAACACCCCTTGAAGTGTTCTACCAATTTGGTGAATCTGAGGCCAGATCCACCCTTTTGGTGGATCAGATCCACGGTGGAGTTGGTGGAGCTAGAAGTGTTTGGCAAAAAAAAGTGGATTTGGATCTAGTTTTGGTGAATCTGGAGCTGGTGAATCTTTGTCGAATAGGCCCTAAAAGGCGTTGGCGTGTGTCTTTGGTAGTAGGGAGGTTGGCCCACAACAAGCTAGAAACCACCACTCGCTCGAATGCCAAAACACTTGTCTCTTCGAAGATTGAATACTAAGCCAAAATCATTTCCCACCTAAGAAATGGTTTCTTCCCTTTCTCCCCTCTCTTCATTAAGTTTGTTGTCACATCAGCACTTTTGTTCACTTGGCATACTATTTAATGCTATGGAAACTACCTATGGTTTTAGGTTGGGACTGCCCTAAGAGACTATGCATCAAGTAGTTGTATCTTGCTTAGTTTCATGAGGCATGTCAACTTGATTTGGTGAGAGAGAAAAAAATACAGATACATGCTGAGCACGAGAAAAACATATGTTGAGAGAGAAAAAAGTACAGATCCACACCAATCACGCTAAGCACAAGATAGGCATTTGTCATAAAGTTCAGCGTCCAACAAGTAATCAGTGTATTATGGTGTATTATGCTTAGCAAATCAGAAGGATAACACATGTGACAAAAGTTTATACTAGTTCAAGTAAATGTGGTACCCTACATTTAGTTGAGAACAACTTCTATAGTGTGTCATACACTCGGGATCGAATGAGGGGATGTTGATAATGTGAAAGTTATGTATAAGAACAAAGACGACCACACGGGCGACCCTACTGCTCCCCATTCTTCACATGAACCAGAGGAAAGCGATGTAGCCACTCGAAATTTGAAACTGCTCTATCTAGGCGCTCCCTTACGTGTGTACTCCCCTTTATTTGTTTATTCCTCCAGGTGAAGACATCGCCCACAAAACCCAGATCATGGAGATCACACCTCTCCAGAGCGCATTTAAATGTATCCATGCAAGCTTGTGGCCTCTAAACACCTCCCTCTTTCTAGAAAACAATCTAGCGCCAAAAGAATAGCACACCGCGCCCGCGCGTCGCTCGCATATTTTCTTTTCAGCGCAAAAAGAAAAAAAGGCAGGACTATTTTCTTGTACTACTAGTGTCATTGTCGTGGACAAGATTTATTCGTGAGCCATATATAGCTACTAGCGCTAGTCCAACTTTAGTCCCTCCAAGTGCTTCCTTCCGTCAAGCTTTGCTGCGTAGACTTGCTTCAAGAAATCCCGGAAACTCATGGACCCATACCGCACTTTCTCGCCTTCCTTTACCAACTCCGGCAGAGGAGCAAGCATCAGATCCTGACTAGGATAGTGGAACAGTGCCACTGAAATCCGCTCTTTGGTTGGGTGTATCACGGCCCTATGCTCAACGCTTCTGAATTTCCCATTGCTCAGGACCTGCAGACGAAGCACACCTCTCCATTTTATATATGCTAGCTTCACCAATAAGAACTTAACGATCTCTTGCAATTAGGGAAATAATCAATTAATTAACGTCAAGCACATCGCCGACGTTGACGACGAAGGCGCCATCGAGAGTGTGGCAGTGTGCACAGGGAACCACTTGCCGTCCTTGACCTGCAGCTATAGTTTTCCAACTGGGCCGAGCACGCTGGGCCGACACGGGCACGGCACTAGAAAGCACGGCCCGGCCCGGCTCCCACCGTGCCCGTGCCTGGCACGGCCCGACCTTAGTGCCGTGCCTGGGCCGCAATGTCGGCCCGTGGGCTAGCCCAGGCACGGCACGGCTAACAGGCCGGCACGATGGTGGCCCGTTATTCTCTGCCGTTGGATGATCACTAGATAAGCAGAGCCGTTGGATTCAGAGCAAGTAGTATATAAACATCACTTCCTCAGTACCAAACCCTAACTTCCTATCTTCTTTTCCTCTCTTTTCCTCACGCTCGCGTACAGGCAGCGGCGGCGGCGCAGAACGTCCGAGCGGCCGAGGGCGATTGGCGCGACCGCGTGGTTGGGGAGTCATTCGCGTGGCGGCGGCGCGTCCCCGCGAAGGCAGCAACATGGTGTGCGGCGGCGCGTCCCCGCGAAGGCAGCAGCACGGTGTGCGGCGGCGCGTCCCCACGGCGGTGGCGGCGTGGCACGCATCAGTGCGTTCCCACGGCGGCGGCGGTGGCTGGAAGCGAGTACGGGAGGCGGCGAATCGTGGCTAGGGCGCGTTCGCGACGGCGGCTGGGTGCTCGTCCTCGACGGTGGCGTCCGCGACGGCGACGTCCATGACGACGGAGTCGCTGGAACGACCTCGTGCTAGCACGGGCACGACGGACCGGCGTGCCCATCGGCACGGCACGGCACGGCTGAGCCTCCATAGGGCCGTGCCTGGGCCGAGAGGTGGGCACGGCGGCGCTATGCGGCACGGCACGGCAGTGCCGTCGTGCCCCGGCGTGCCGTGCCTAGCCGTGCCGTGCCTGGTCGTGCTCGTGCCAGTGCCGTGTCGTGCGGCCCGGTTGGCCATCTATACCTGCAGCCCCTGCACGTCGTGGTTCATCTGCAGCAGCAGCGTGAGGCCACACGCGTCGGAGTGTGGCGACAGGCCCAGCACCCGGTCAGCCTGCTTGGACGGCGGGTAGTAGTTCACCCTCATGCCCTAGCTGGGCCTGCCCTTGGAACACGCCTCGCAGCAGCGCCGGATCGGCGCCCACGCCGTTGGCCATGAGCTCCAGCAAGTGGTACGCTAACTCTGGTCGCCGGGGAGAAAGCGTCTATGCAATGCCTGAATAATAATAATGACAAAATCATATATATATATATATATATATATATATATTCTTAGTATTGTATTGGGCAATACTAAGGTACAAACTTTTACCTCAAGGAGGTAATATCTAAAATCAATCTGAGCCATTGATTTTTCACATTTTATGAATTACTTAATAAAATAAAAATCCTGGAAAACAAAATAAGACCTCCGCATCCCCTGATGACGGATTGACAGGAGGAAATTCCTTTAAAGACATGCATGCTGATGCCCCTAATCACAGGCTAATCACGGGAGATGCTCATGTTACAAACAGTCATCTATAACATGTATAGACACGTTACCTGCACTAACACATGGCTAACACACGTTGCCGGCACTTTAGACCTACACGTTACCTGCACTAACATATGTTACCTGACACGTTAACACGCACTACCGGAATGCCCAGGTTTGCCGTGTGTCCACGGCACACAGAGAAGCCTAAAAAACACTCGGTAAAGCCTTTGCCAAGTGTTACACTCGGCAAACGGCACTCGGCGTACACAGAGTCGGCAAACGTTTCTTTGCCAAGTGTTTTTTTATCGGACACTCAGCAAAGACTTTGCCGAGTACTAAAACCGACATTCAGCAAAGACTTTTCAAAAAATATAAAAAAAACCACCGCCGCCCGCCCGCGGCTCCCCTCGCCGCCGCCGCCGCCACCACCTGTGCAAAATAAGAGGGAGAGGGAGGGAGATGGGGGGGGGGTTAGGACAGGGCCATGGCCGGCCGGCGACGGCACTCGACCTTGCAGCCAGCACTTGGAAGTCCGAGCCGAGCTCACGCGGGGGTGGCTCTCTGCAGACGGCAGCAACGCGGAGGGGTGAGAGGGGGCAGTGCCGGGAGAGGGAGGGGAGGGGGCAGCGCCGGTGGGAGAGGGAGGGGGCGTCGGCGG